GATTGCTGCCTGCTTGTTGCTTGCTTGCTGCATGCCCGCTACTTGCATGTTGTTTGCTTATTGCTTCCCTGCTGCTTCCCTGCTACTTGCCTGCTACTTGCCTGCTATTTGCTCTTGCTTGCTGCTGCTGACCTGTTGCTGCTCACCTGCTGCTCACATGCTGCTTACCTGCTGCTCACCTGATGCTTGCCTGTTGTTTGCTGCTCCATGCTGCTGCTTGCTGCTATTTGTTCCTCCTCCTTGCTGCTCCTTGCTGCGCCTTGCTTCTGCTTGCTGCTTGCTGCTTGCTGTTTGCTGCTGGCTGCTGGCTGCTGGCTGCTGGCTGCTGGCTGCTGGTGGCTGCTGCTGCTGCTACTGCTCTGCTTGCTGCTGGCTGCTTGTTGCTTGCTGCTTGCTGCTTGCTGCTTGCTTGCTGCTATTGCTTCCTCCTGCTTCTTCTGGTGTTTCCTGCTGGTATTGGGGTTATCGTTCGTGTAAATATTTTGTCGAAACAGAAAATAACAGTTTCGGTCGCCTTGTTTGGTGCTGACCGGAGGTACGGGCGGGAGACACCAGCAGAGAGAGGGAATGTTTCTGGCTGGTTGGAATGAAACATTGCGGTCGTATAGTGCGGTAGTGTCGCTGTGCTCACCATCTGCGCCATTTCGCGCCATCTTGCAAGACGGTACAGACGGCAAGACGGCGCAAAACAGAACAAACATAACAAATGGCGTAAACGGAACACCGACAAAACCTGCCACGCTTTCCACCCGCAATGGAATGAATGTTTTTTTTCCAATTCGTAATTCCTGGATGCATAGGACAACAAATTTCTTGAGAGCTGTCCACGACATTGCTGCACATCGCGCCAGCCATAGATTTGGTTGCGGAAAAGAAGGGACCCCCATATCCTTATATTATCCTAGATCATAGCCCTGCCAATAGGATTTGCTACAGCTAACCCACTTGTATTGCAAGAAATTTGAGGCTGTACCAATAGGGGTTTGATTTGGTCACGCGATACAGGACATCAATATAATATATTCAAATCCAATAGGATTAGTTACCGAGAATTTATTTATAATTTGTAACCTTCAAAATCATCGTTATGCGCAATATTTCGGTTATTTTTAACTATATCTCCAAGTATGGATGAAATAGGTTGTGCCATGGTAATTCTTCTTCCCTGATATGATATTTCATTACCTGATGTGATTTCTCCGCATCGCCGCCGTACCATGGGAATAATATAATTTTTCCCGTTTAATATAATTTAAATACGGTATTAATAAACAATAAATTAAAAAATAATTAAACCAAATATTAAGAACATAATTAAAAAATAATATTTATATATTGTTTTTTAAAATAAAATATTAATAAATTAATAAACATAATTTTAAAAAATTAAAAAATAATAAAATATTAAAAATAATAATAAAATATCAAAAACATAATATTAAAATATTAAAAAAAAATAATATTTAAAA